GTCTTGAAGGCGCTCTGTTACAAGACCATTACTTACATCGCTTTGACTCAGGTAAATGAAGATGAAGTGGGCTTTGAATCACCAGAGTAATTTGGGAGATGGTGAAAGTATTGTCTATTAGGAGACTGGAGCCCAGAGAGGTAATAAAAGCTTTTTCTTCTAACGAGTCTTCATCTCTGAGTTTGATCAGTGCTAAGGCTTTTAATTTCTTCAGGATTTGTCCCAAGGATTATTTGGGCCCTAGGATATTATTTATTTTTAAAAAAATAAAACATAGCAATATTTCACAGGCAAATTAGCCTCATATTTCATGCTCTTGGCCATCAAACATACTTTTCACCCAATCCATACATTCCAAAGCCATGCATAAAGGTGGCGTTTGTCCTGTGGTTTTTCCCCTCGTCTGATTTGCTAAATTTGCACAAACATCGTAAATTAGCAAGAGGACAGACACCAAGGAGACATGAGAAGTGTGGTGGTTTAGAAAGAGAAATATATATTTAAAAAAAATCCATTCCTACTAATACTGTCAGAAAAAAAATTATCAGATTTAATAGGGGTTTGGAAACTTAATGAGCTTTTGCTGCGGCTGAGTTTGAGGAGCAGAAAGGTCGGTTGTGTGTGTGTCTGGCTGCGGTCACCAGGGAGTTAACCTTCAATTCCATCTTGGAAAAATGGGAAAAGATCACCAGGTTTCCTTGGAACAATGACACAGCCCCTGCCAGGAAAAGCATCAGCCTTTCCACTGACTTCAAACTCCTGGCGAAAGACACCTCTTCGGCGTTCTTGCCCTCTCCTCTCTGCTCGAGATGTCCACAGAGGGGCCTGGTGTTGGAGGTGAAACCTGCTGAGGGTCCTGCCATCCTGGGGAGCTCCAGTCACTGGTGGGATGGACAGGTTGTGACATAAACGGGCAGGTCCACTAATGAGGCCTACAGTGCTTATTCTTTATAGCAAACCTCTAAAAATGTCAATATTATCATGGAATGTTTTGGGTTGGAAGGGACCTTCAAGATCATCCCATCCCACCCCCCTGCCCTGGGCAGGGACACCTTCCACCAGCCCAGGTTGCTCCAAGCCCCCTCCAACCTGCCCTTGAACCCCTCCAGGGATGGGGCAGCCACAGCTTCTATTCCAGGCTCTCCCCACCCTCACACCAAACAAGTTCTTCCCCACATCTCCCATGACCCCCTCCTCCTGCCTGGACCCCTCTGCTGCCAGCCACTGGTGGGATGGACAGGTTGTGACATAAACGGGCAGGTCCACTAATGAGGCCTACAGTGCTTATTCTTTATAGCAAACCTCTAAAAATGTCAATATTATCATGGAATGTGAAGGGACCTCCAAAGGCCATCTAGTCCCACCCCCCCGCAGTCAGCAGGGACACCCCCAACTAGACCAGGTTGCCCAGGGCCTCGTCGAGCCTCTCCTTGAATATCTCCAGGGAAGGGGCCTCAACCACCTCCCTGGGCAACCTGTTCCAGTGCTCCACCACCCTCCCAGTGAAGAACCCTCTCCTCATCTCCAGTCTAAATCTGTTCCCCTCCAGCTTTAAGCTAGTCCTGCCTGGTTGTATGATCAGTGAGGTCTTGGCTAGCAAGCACAACTGGGCAAAATTGTGTACGAGCCAGGAACGTGGCTTAATTTTGTCTTTCAAGATACCAAGGCAGAGCGGGGACTCACAAACGTGCCTCTAGCTGGGTAAAGTAAAATTTGAAGGAGTCCTGCCTGGTTGTATGATCAGTGAGGTCTTGGCTAGCAAGCACAACTGGGCAAAATTGTGTACGAGCCAGGAACGTGGCTTAATTTTGTCTTTCAAGATACCAAGGCAGAGCGGGGACTCACAAACGTGCCTCTAGCTGGGTAAAGTAAAATTTGAAGGATACCTCAACGTACCATCTACGGTGCTCAGGGTTATCCACACACAGTGTGTGGGTTCATAGCACTGTCTTTAGGACTTTGTGTGTCATAAAATGCCACCACTGGAAAGGTTAGGATACCATAAACCTCATTTATGAAGTCAGTCATATCTACTTGTGCTAGTAGTATATATATGAGCATATATATTCCAGTAATAAATGAACCCAAAAGAACCTAATGCTTGTTTATCATGTTCAGGAAGTTTGACAGCTGTTTTCAATGTGAAAAATGAATATTTCAGGTTATCTCTCAAGCCATGTATAGGAATGTGCTGTTTAATGCTTTGATCAGTTACCAGAAATATGAGTTACAAATTATTTCAGCTTTCTCTGGCAAAACACATTGAAATTCTTACGGGGTATCCTCAAAACCCTGCTGTCTTTGGTCTGTCCTTTAAGAAGATGAAAGTCAATTTCCCAATTTGGAGTCAAGCAAATTCTGCCCATGAGTCATGTTCTGAGTCCACTAAGGTCAGGAGAGGCCTTTGCTTTGTGCTCCCTGGGTTTGGATTATAAGAGATGCTGCAGGAGGAGGGGCTTCTAAACATCACAACAGCCGTGATGAACAGAGCAAATAAAAAATGATGGGGAACGGGGAGCATAAGCAAATATTCATCTTCCAGGGTATTTTGCTGTGAGACAGTTGTGTTACAGGAGAAAATGTGAAACTTGACAGCAAAAAATCACAGAATCACGGAATCATCAGAGTTGGAAGGTATCTTCTAGAGATCTTCTAGTCCAACCCCCCTGCCAAAGCAGGGTTGCCCAGAGCACATCACTCAGGATCTCATCCAGGAGGGGCTTGAAGATCTCCAGAGAAGGGGACTCCACACCCTCCCTGGGCAGCCTCTGCCAGGGCTCTGCCACCCTCACCCCAAAGAAGTTCTTCCTCACATTGGAGTGGAACTTCCCATGGTCCAGCTTGTGCCCGTTGCCCCTCGTCCTGTCCCTGGGAACCACTGAGAAGAGTCCGGCTCCCTCCTCCTTCAACCCACCCTTGAGATCCTTGTCAGCATTGAGAAGGCCTCCCCTCAGCCTTCTCTTCTCCAGGCTGAAGCCCCCCAGCTCTCTCAGTCTTTCCTCATCAGGGAGATGCTCCAAGCCCTCCATCACCTCTGTTGCCCTTCGCTGGACTCTCTCCAGCAGTTCCCTGTCCCTCTTGAACTGGGGAGCCCAGAACTGGTCGCAGGATTCCAGTTGTGGCCTCCCCAGTGCAGAGCAGAGGGGGAGAATGACCTCCCTCCACCTCCTGGCCACACTCTTCCCTACACAGCCCAGGATCCCATTGGCCTCTTGGCCACAAGGACACATTGCTGCCTCCTGGACAATTTACTCTCTACCAGGACCCCCAGATCCTTCTCCTCAGAAGTGCTTTCCAGAAGATCTCCGTGGGAGACATTCCATGGGCTTTCTAGAGCAGTGGTGTATGTCAGAGTGACAGTAGTGTCCAAATGGAGGGGACACTGAGTGGATTTCATCTTCACGGGCTTCCACGGGGTTTTAAGACTTTAAGACACGGGTTTTTAAGAGTGAAAGGCTCTTGGATGTCCCCAGGTTGGGACAACTTTTTAGCTGCTCCACGCTGGTAGGGAACAGTGAAGCCCTAAAGTGCAAATTTGGTTTCTGATACAAATCCTTTGATGGAAAATTTGTATTTGCTCATCAAACCAGCCTGTCACAGAGCAGGGGAAATTCTATTTGCATAACCACAAGAGAGCCGTAGGCATTTGAATGTGCTCTCTCTTCCCCTAAATACATTTAATGCTGTAAAAATATAAAAAATTATGAAAGCCAAAGACTTTCTTTGGTCCAGAAGTCTTTGATGTGATCTGCAACGTGTTATACAGCCATCGGGACAGACATGAGCGTTCAGGGTTTTTTTTGGTCCAGAAGTCTTTGACATGATCTTCCACAGCCATCGGGACAGACATGAGCGTTCAGGAGGTTACGTGTGGTGAAGGAAGATGCTGAATTTGTGTCCCTTCCAGAGAGGAGAGATGCAAAATGCAAAGTTAAATTCACTCTGGGTATCAGGGGTCGTTTGTATGTGAACGAGTTTTGCCTTTTATCTCCCTTGTTCTCAGGAGGTGCCTCTAACCACATGATTCTGATTTTGTCAGGAAAATACAGCAATTTGTGGTTTTTCTCCTCGCTCTTCCGTTTGTTTCCGCTTTCATTTATTGGTGGTGGTTTTTTCCATCTTAGCCATTTGTGATTTTGTTACAGAATTACATTTTTATGTCCGTGTTTTCCAAGAGAGATGGTGTCGTTCCAAAAGCCTTTTGTGTAAAACGGCCTGGGCTACTCTTCAGAGTTGTCTATTTTTAATCTGGTGTCATTTCTGCTGGAGAAAGGGAGCGAGGAACTCCCTTGGCACGGGTGCTTTCCCCAGGCAATTTAATGTCCTTTATACCAGGAGGAGAGAGAGTAGTGAGAGGTTGAGACTCGTGGTCCAGCAGGACTAGTAGCAGGACTAGTCAAGGCTCTTGGTCCATGTACAGGGATGCTGTGGTTAAATCTCCCCTCCCTGCTCTGAAAAATAGCACATCCTGATGTGTTTAATGCCCCTGGATGTGATGGATGGTGCCATAAAGCTCTCTGTTGTAGTAAATTGCTTGACAACACTGAAATGAGGAGATCTGGTTTATTATCTAATGTCTGCCTGGATATAGAAGATAAAAAATGAATGAAACGGGGGGGGAGGAATACCTGACGCATTAATATTTATAGAGATATTTTCAGGGAACAATTAATTTTACAGACTTCTAAGCTAGAGGTTTAATCCCTGCCTCGAACCGTCTCCCCTTCCTGTGATAGTTTTATTTTTGAACCGTATATTTTTATTTTTAAACTGTCAGGTGAGGTGCCAAAACCCAACAGCATCCGAGGGTCTGTGCGAGCCGGGAATGCTGAGTGTTCTCCGTCTGACGGAGCCCGTTCCCTGATACTCAGCATGTCTTGGAGCAAGTTGCTGTGGATGTTGTGTTTCATGCCTTATTATTACATGCCTGGTTTCTCCCTGCTCACTGACCTGCTCTTTTTTTCTCTCTCTCTCTCCCTCCTCCCCTCCCCTGGATGTAGCTCTCGCTCCCGGAGGAACAGAATGAAGTAACGCGAAACGGCTGCGAATCCAAGGAGCTGGTCTACCTTGTACAGATCTCCTGCCAGGTAAATGCTGTGTTTTCTCCCTGCAACTCATTTTCCAGCCTGTATCATGTTTTATTTGGCAACACAACCTCGTGATGTTTTGATGTGAGGCTTTTCTGCGGCGCGTGGGGTTTTTTTTTTTTCCCCACGTCTTCAGTATCTCGGTCCTCCGAAGGATGCTCTCTGGGGCACTGCAGGTTTAAGACTTGGAGGGGGAGAAAAAGGAGTCTGATGAGCAAATAATCATCTGTAGGGTCTGTGTAGTGGTGGGGGAGGACACACAGACACACAGACAATTTCTCTGCGGCGCATGGAGGTATTTTTTCCCCATGTCTTCAATATCTTGGTCCTCCAAAGGATGCTCTCTGGGGCACTGCAGGTTTAAGGGGAGAAAAAGGAGTCTGATGAGCAAGGCTTTTCTGCGGCGCGTGGGGTTTTTTTTTTTTCCCCACGTCTTCAGTATCTCGGTCCTCCGAAGGATGCTCTCTGGGGCACTGCAGGTTTAAGACTTGGAGGGGGAGAAAAAGGAGTCTGATGAGCAAATAATCCTCTGTAGGGTCTGTGCAGTGGTGGGGGAGGACACACGGACACACAGACACACAGACAGGGCAGGTACAGGAGGGAGAACCCAGGCGTGCTGTGCTGCTGGCAGCCAGGAGATGGGGATTCCTCATCTCATCCCAATTATGTCTCTGTCATCTGGCACTGAATTCTCTCTCTGCCTCTGCTACCGTGGCATCAAAACGCTTCGTAGCACAGATTCTGCTAATTACAGAGATAACGGCTTCGTAAGATGCTACGTGGGATGTTATGGTGTTTTAATCTGCTGATTGGAATTGTTTGTGGCAGACACAGCAGTGACAAATCCAGAGTTAACGCCTGCACGTGGTCATTTATCTGGTCTCAGCACAGCGGGTCTTTCCATCCTCCCCCTCGGCATTTTGTGAGCGTCCATCTTACCAGTTTGTGCTGGGTGTTAAATGGGAGTCACCGTGGGGTCTGTCCCTCTTTTTAAAGCTCTTTATGGGATTCTGCTGATATTTCCCAGGTGCTAAAAGGAAGCGTATGGCACAGACACCTACATTTGTCCTACTGGACCTACATCATCCAGGGGGGGTTGAGGCCCCATCCCTGGAGGTGTTCAAAAGAGGGGTTGATGTGGTGCTGGGAGGTCTGGTTTAGTGATGATGCTCCTTGTTTGTTGTGTGGGTGTCTATTTTTGTCAGTCAGGTTGATGGTTGGACAAGATGATCTTGAAGGTCCCTTCCAACCTAGAAGATTCTGGGATTCTGTGATCTGAAGTGTGTGGGGCAGGGAAGCAGAGATCCAGCTGTCCCAGCGGTGGTAGGACACACAGAAGGTGAATTTGTGATGAACTTCTGCCCCACCTCTGTGTGTTGTGATGGTGTGGGGTGTCCTGAGAGAGCTGAGGAGCAAAGCATCCTCCTCTGCTTTGGAGGTGGAGCAAGTAATTCCTCTGTTGTTGGCTGTTAGGGTGTCAGTACACACCTGGACATACATGTAAAATATATATATATATATATATACATCTAGATGTATTGCTTTTGGGAGAGGGAAGAGAGGCTGGAAGGGAACATCTCTCAAAATTGCCTGTGTTTGGGCATTTTGCTACTGCTGTTCTAACCCAGCTGGAGTTATCTTCATCCAAAAGAGCCCCTTTTCAGAAAAGCAATCCAAGCTAACGAGCAGCGCTGCAAGATGTAAGGGTGGGCACGTGTCTGTGGCCGAGAGCACCACAGGGACTGAGAAGGAGATTTTTTCAGGGCACTTAAGGAAATTGGATTTTCAGTGTGTTTTGAGTCCTTACGTTTGGGACTATATCTGCAGTGCTTAATGCAGAGATAAACTTTATATTCTTTCCTGGTGAGCCTATAGAGCATGACACAATATTTCATAGAACAGTTTTTCTCCAACCCCAAACCATGCCACTTCTGACCTTTCTACCTGCCTTACTGATGGGACATCTTCAGGTATAACCGTGTCCTTGAACCCTGCAGGACACACTCGTGGATGAAGGAAAGGCTGTGGCTGTTGTTTATCTGGACTTCAGCAAAGCCTTTGATACAGTCTCCTACAGGATCCTCCTGGAGAAACTTGGCTTGGATGGGAATACCCTCTGCTGGGTTAAAAACTGGCTGGAGGGCCGGGCCTAGAGAGTGGTGGTGAACAGAGTCAAATCCAGTTGGTGGCCGGTCACGAGTGGTGTCCCACAGGGCTCAGTACTGGGGCCAATTCTCTTTAACATCTTTATCAATGATCTGGAGGAGGGGATCGAGTGCACCCTCAGTCAGTTCGTAGACGACACCAAGCTGGGTGGCAGTGTGGACCTGCTGGAGGGTAGAGAGGCTCTGCAGAGGGATCTTGACAGGCTGGATCGATGGGCCGAGACCAACGGGATGAGGTTCAACAAGGCCAAGTGCCAGGTCCTGCACTTGGGTCACACCAACCCCATGCAGTGCGACAGGCTTGGGGAAGAATGGCTGGAGCTGCCGGGCAGAAAAGGACCTGGGGGTGTTGGTGGCCTGTGGGCTGAACATGAGCCAGCAGTGTGCCCAGGTGGCCAAGAAGGCCACCAGCATCCTGGCCTGTGTCAGGAACAGCGTGGGGAGTAGGGCCCGAGAGGTGATTGTCCCCCTGTACTGGGCACTGGTGAGGCCTCACCTTGAGTACTGTGTCCAGTTTTGGGCCCCCTACCATAAAAAAGACATTGAGGTGCTGGAGCGGGTCCAGAGAAGGGTGACAAAGCTGGTGAGGGGTCTGGAGAATAAGTCTTATGAGGAGAGGCTGAGGGAGCTGGGGTTATTCAGCCTGGAGAAGAGGAGGCTGAGGGGAGACCTTATTGCTCTCTCCAACTCCCTGAAAGGAGGGTGTAGAGAGGTGGGGGTCGGTCTCTTTTCTCAAGTCACAGGCGACAGGACAAGAGGAAATGGCCTCAAGTTGCCCCAGGGGAGGTTCAGGCTGGATATCAGGAACAATTTTTTCCCTGAAAGGGTTCTCAGCCATTGGAATGGGCTGCCCAGGGAGGGGGTTGAGGCCCCATCCCTGGAGGTGTTCAAAAGAGGGGTTGATGTCGTGCTGGGAGGTCTGGTTTAGTGATGATGCTCCTTGTTTGTTGTGTGGGTGTCTATTTTTGTCAGTGAGGTTGACAGTTGGACAAGATGATCTTTAAGGTCCCTTCCAACCTAGAAGATTCTGTGATTCTGTGCAGGAGCAAGCCCCAGAGCAGCAAAGAGCTGGTGCTGAGCATGCGAGACACTGATGGGGCAGTGATGGAGGGGAGCCCAGCAGCTTGGCTGACACTTGTCAGACTCTCAGATGCTTTGCAGGGACGTTTCTGAGAATAGAGAGCAGAGATGGGGACAACCTGGGAAATTCTGTCCCTTGGCTAAGGATGATGCTACAGCAAGACTTCACTGAGCTGGTGTCCAGCAGATCCAGAGGCTTGAACCAACTGCTGAGAACTTCTGTGACCTTCTTTTTCAGTATTACTAGAATCATGGAATCATAGAATTATCCAGGTTGGAAGGGACCTTTAAGATCATCAGGTCCAACCATCAACTCAACACTGACAAAAACCATCACTAAACCATGTCTTTAAGCGCGATGTCAACCCATCTTTTGAACACCTCCAGGGATGGTGCCTCAACCACTTCCCTGGGCAGCCAATTCCAAGGCTTGATAACCCTTTCTGTGGCTCTTCTTACAAAGCTGAGAAGCTGATGGTGTCTGGATTGGGTGAAGGGACAGTCCCAGTTGTGTCTGGATGGATTTGGCTCCATGGTAGAATGGGAGGTGTGAAACAGCTCATGGAATGAGAGATTTTGGCAGGAGGCGCCTGTATCAGGCCAAAAATATTGATGGAGGGAGATTAAAAAAAAAGCTTATAACAGAAATGTCCCTTTTGGATGTGCCACGAGCGTTGGGGTTCAGCCACTTGCAAAGATCTCCTTGGTTCCTCAGATGGACACAGAGAAAGCAAAGTCTGATAATTAAGGCTAAACCCACATAAATTTCAAAGCTTTAAGATGTTTGTGATTTGTGGGAAGAGAGATAGTACAGCCATTCTGGCAGCTTTAGATTACAGATCTTAGAGAAATGCCCTCAAGGCCCAGCTCTGGGGTTGAATGCATTATAGTGCTGTGCCCAGCCCAGTCTGCCCAGTCCAGATACACTCTGGGTGTTGTGTGGTCCAGAAAGAGACATTTATTTTATCATTTCACTCCGTAGCAGACAACAAACCAGAGCTTTTGAACGTTAGACTTTCAAAACATCTAAGCTGTGTTTGGCAGGCTCCAGGTCAGCATTTACACCGAGGAAATTCTATCCCAGTCTTTCCCAGCTGTAAGTAGAATTTTAGTGGCGTAAAGAGAATTATTGTTTGGTGCCTGTTTTGCAAAACTTTCCCGGATAAGGTTTGGAAAAAGAAGCAAACGTTTTTGGAGTTGTATTTGTGACACTTCTACTGCAAGTCAGCTTGTGAAATCCAAGCTCGGTGTGAGGTTCAGAGGGGGGTATTTAGGTCTCTCTTCAGCTTTTCTTCTACTTAGAGACCTCAAAAAAATGAATCCATTTTATTGGCTCTTGAGAAGAAGTGGGAATACAGAGAGAGCTGTGCCAAGTGAGAAGTGGGAAGATAGGATTCTTCTCTTGATTCCTTTGAACAAATTTAAACTTGAAAACTAGCAGATGACAAAGGAGGGGGGTTAAATTTTATTGGAGAGATCTGATGATGGGGGGAGGTTGGTTTTTTAGAGCAACGTGGGTGGATTTTCCCTTTTTCCCAAGTAAGGTTGCACCGTTTAACTTCCATTTCTAGAAGATTGCTCTCAGGACATGTGCAGTTGCTGCTGTTGGAAGATTGTTGTTATTAAAATAAACGTAAAGAAAATCCCTTTCTGTGATAAAGGGGATGGAGAGATGGAGGGAGGGATGGTTGGAGAGATGGAGGGGTGGATGGAAAGATGGATGGAGGGAGAAAGGTAGGGATCAAGATGGAGGGA